TTTTTAGTCAGACTGAAGTAGATTGTAACCCTATCTCTGCCATTTACTAGTAGGTGACCCAGGACAAGTTAATCAGTTTTTGCATATGTAAATTAGGAATAATTACTCTGACAATTTATTATTTGTGTGTGCATGTGTGTGTTAAGTGAAATAAAACGTATAAAAGGTCTATGAGGTATCTCCCTTAAGCTTCCCTGTTCAAATAGGCTAAGAAATAAAACTTCAGATCTCTTTAAGCTATTTTTTAAAAAGTATTATCCAACTAAATTAAGAAAAATATGATCAAAGAGTAATGTGCTTCTTTAATGGACTTTACAATTTTAAATCATTTATCCTGGGCTAGTGGTTCTTTTTATAGGCTCCAATCATGTTTTTTAATATAAAAGAATCACTGCATTTAGAGAACATAGCCAGTCAGTAGAAATTGAAGAAAAAATTTTAAAAAGCTAGAAAACAATAGCCAGTGATTCATTAAAATATTTTTTTTTTTTTTTTAGGAAAAAAATTTTCCACATATGCACAATAATCATTTGGCATTTTGTAGGCTTAAGCCTTGGGGAGTTAGTGGTATTTGGCTCCTGACATGGAAGGCTTTCTCTTGTCAGTCAAATCCTTTCCCTTGCACATTCCTGTTAAAGTTTGTTTCTCTTGTGCCTTATGGCAGGCTTTGAGGTGGTTGAGTATGGTTTGCACAGCCTAGGCTGACCCTCCTTCACATTTCTGCTTTAACCTCTTCATGAGTGAGTGTTTAGCTCTGTGGCTGTTAACTGGTCCATTGTTTCACCTAACGGTGAGGCTCATTGTACCTGGGGGAAAATGGTCATTACTCTGAGCATGTAGGAATGAGCTAGTTAATGCACATTAAATCATCCAACTTGTAGTCTTTGAAGTTTCTTTAAATAACTTCTTTATTTTTGTTAACTATTCTTCAGAGTCTCATAAGAAAAGCATGAGTATTTCTGACAGATTCGGATATTTTTAGGAAATGAATTTGCACCTTGAGAAAAAGATGAACTAGATGACATTTCCACCTTGATTCAGAAGATATAGTTTTGATGATTTGAGATTTGTTCTCAACATTTTGAATAGTATATATTATCCCCAAGAAAGAATGTAACACTAGGGAAATTTCATTCCAAGGGGCAAATACTAATTGAGTACAGAATATGGCAAAAGTGCACATGAGCATATTGTTGTTGGGTGCCAGTCAGTTCCAATTCATATGACCCCTTGTGACAGAGTACAACTACCCCACAGGGTTCTGTTGGTTGTAATCTTTATGGAAGCAGTTCTCCAGGTCTTTCTCCCTCACAGCTGCTGGGTGGGTTCAAATCACCAACCTTTCTGTTAGCAGCTGAATGCTTAACAATTGTGCCACCAGGGCTCCTTATACTTAGTTAAAAAATAAAAAAAAGAAGGTAAATAATTGATTTCTAGTCACCAAAGCAAAGATATTTAAAAGTAGTTTAGGCTCAAGAGTCTACAGAGAAGAAAATTAGGATGACATGAATGTTAATCAACTGCTGTTTAAATTCTGTGTTCCTGTTATCTTGATGTGTGCACTGAATTTTGAACAATGTATGAGATTCAATCCTGGCATTTTAGCTAGTTATCAGACTATTTGTGTACTTTAGGGTCTTATTTTAACCAGTAATATTGATGGCGAGGCTATAAACGTGTGTGTGCGTGCGTGTGTGTGCGCACGCACGCGTGTGTATTTTAGTGTGTTGTAAATGATGAATCTTTCTCTGCCAGCAAAAACACTTTTAAATATATAAATCGGTTCATTATTTATAATTTGTGAAAACTGATCTAATTTTAGCTGAACAAATTGCAAGGGGGAATGATGGGTATTTCTATATCCTACCTACTGGTGGTAGGTATGTCAAAGACTCCCTTTTTATTTTATTTTTATTTTTTTGATAATCTCCAAACAAATTTATTGATTAGTATAAAGCATGCCTTAAAGAGAGAAAAAAAGAAAAAAAAAAGAAGTGAGCTTTATAATCATTTCAAGCAGACTTTTTTTAAATAGAGGAGTCAACACAGATATTTTTATAAAAACACAGGTGTTTGCAATGTCAAAAGGGAAGTTTAATTATAAATATTTATATAAATATATATTATGTATATGTATAAGAAATATAAAGAATATAAATAATACATCCATTGACAGAATAATGATTTTTTTAGAAAATAAACTAATGATAGCTATTTTGATACAGACAGATCCTACTCACTCCTTTTCCACTGCATATTGAAAAGTGTGTGACTTTTATTTGTATCCAACCAACAGTGGATAGAAAAAGAATAACACAAAATGATGTATCATTTAGAAATATTTTGTAATCTAAATAGATTGAATATCTATAGCATGAAATCAACTGCCATCAATTCAAAATTTAAGATATTATTATTGATCATAATACTGTTTTACATACTTTTATCAGGATTTACAATTTTCAAGTATTTACATATTTATATACTTTTACTTAATTTTATTTCATCTAAAAATTAATTGCTGTTAATTTGGGTACAATGAAACATTTCCTTTGTTTGGATAATTAGCACAGCCAGGACTCTTTCATCTAAAGGATGAATGTTAAACAAAATTAAACAAATGAAACAATTATATGCAAAGCCCAACTCTCAGAAACTGATGCTGAGCTGGACATTAAGAGAAAAAGGAATGCATTTCATAGATAATAATGAACACTTGTGAGCAGTGAAGCCAGTCTGTGGATCAGTATTAATTTTCTTTTTATATAAAAACAGTGCTTCCTTGTAATGTGCCAGAATGGTTGAAAGTGTGTGCATGTGCTTAAAACGGTATATACTTTTGGTAAATAATATACACACAGAAATATAATGCTGTAATTTGACTAATAAATGGTAATATTCGTTTACTCTTACAAGAGAATTTAAAAGATACAGAAGTAACTTTAGAGGTCACTTAGTTCAATCCCTCGTTGTATACATAACCTATGTTACTATGGTGTTTTTACTGTTGAAGTTAAATATAAACACGTTTAAAAAAACAAACCAAACCCATTGCCGTTGAGTCAATTCCAACACATAGCAACCCTGTAGGATAGAGTAGAACTGCGCCATATGATTTCCAGGGAGCGGCTGAGGGATTCAAACTGCAGACCTTTTGGTTATCAGCTGAGCTCTCAACCACTATGCCACCAGGGCTCCATAAACATGTTTAGATGTGTGCAAAAGCAGAATGTAAGAAATATAACTACTCAGTCATTACAATCACCTTTTCATCAGCAAGGTATATTCACTCCCAAAGGATGAAATATCCACTCATCAACAAGTGATAACCATAATGGCACAAATTTAATATAAAAAGCAATATGTATATTACAAATAACAGCCCTTAAATAATAACTATTAGCTCATAACATGCCTGAACATTTCAGAACTCACCTCACACAAAAACAATGTATTTATTGCTAGAGGGAAAAGGTTCACTTTATTAAATGATGTATTTATAATTTGGGGTTATAGATTTTACAGCTAGTTATACATTGGAAATATAGAGTCTGGGTTATGTGCGTTGATAACATTTAAGAATCTCTGTGCTTGCTGAGTATTCGAGAATGATTTATTTTTTTCTACTCACATTAATTTTCCACTGTGCATTTGGAAAATGGTATGAAAAAGGTTAAGGTTTTTCAGGCGCACAGATGATGAAGAAGGCTAATCTGGTTGTTAGAATAACACATTTTATAATCTTTAGTATTATCTTCTTATATACAATTCGCGTTGAAGTTGGTGATAATAAAAGTCGTCTATACTCAATGAAAAATATTTGGAAATATGAAAAGCAAGAATAAGAAAATGACAATAAACTGCAAACCTACCACACAGAAAAAAACAATACAAAACGCAACAAAGTAGTGATTTTTTTTTTCCAAAACTAAATACACACGCTTACCCTCTCCAAAACCCTACCCCCACCCCCTGCTAACACACACAGGCACATATATACATACAGACACCTGCATATTTTTTTTATACATTCTTGCTCCACCATTTACCTGCTTTGTGACTTTTGGCAAGTTACCTCTTTATGCCTTAGTTTCTTCATCTTTAAAATATGGATTGTAATGATAATCATATCATAGAATTGTGAAGATTAAATGAGGTAATACATGTAACATTTCTAAAAGAGTGCCTGGCTTAATATATGTTAACTTTTATTATAGTTGGAATTATATGTTTTCAAAATACTTTAAATTATCAAATGTTTCTCATTTTAATTTAAAAAGTTAGCCTTTGCAAGTATCTTGTCTCATCTTCAGTAGGCCATAATACCTTTCCTTTTTTTTTCTTTTCCTCTATGATAATGGTGGTAAATGAAACATCTGAAAAATATGTTCCATGCAAAATGGATCTTCACACAGACTTATTTTGTCATTTTAGTTTGATTTTTGAGAAATGAGTTTGGCACATCTAACGAATCCTTTTATAAGATGCTACATTTCTGTTTTTATTTGAGTTTATTGCATTTACGAAAAGCTCTTTTCTTCTCCACCCCTCTCCCAGACACTTAGGTCTCCTATCCCCCACTCGCCCCTGCCCCCTGCTGTAAATTGTAATGTCTCTGTAAATAAATAGAAAGGGGGAAGAAAAACTAGAAAGAATCTGTCACTAAAAAAAAAAAAAAAGAAAAGTCATTCTTCCTTTTCTATATCTGCATTAAAAACAAACAAACCTGTCTCACACACTCTGAAAATATAACATTTTATAATGGACTTTTTTGTGTGTGCCAAATTTGGAATAACAGACTTTTTTCCCCCATAGTGTGGGAAGAAGGCCGGTTTGGGGAGGGGAAAGATGAAGTAAATATGGAGTAAAACAGATGAAGAAGAATCAGTATGCAAACATATGTTAATATTTAGATTCTTTTTTAAAAGTAAAAAAAGTTAACTAGTTGATGCTTTTTTGCAAACTGTCTTTGATACTGTGTTTTGTTTATTCCATCCCAGAAGAAGTTAGCGGTATACAGCAAGATGCAGGACTCTCTGGAAGTCACCCTTCCCAGCAAACAAGAGGAGGAGGAGGAGGAGGA